TAGATCATCGACGTTCGGGGACGGACTTTGTATGGAAAAACATAGGGTTTCGTGCATCTGCTATCTCTCAAAAACGCATTTCGTGCGAGACTTCCTCCAAAACTCCATCGGCAACTCCTCCACCAGCACCACTTGCAATACCATTTACAGTGAGGGAACGATCCTAGAGTTGCAAATCACAATGGAATTCCAATCAGCAAATCATCCACCAGCACCACTTGCACCCCATTTAACAAATGCGGGAAACAGAACCTTACAGTTGCAAATCACAATGGAATTCTGTCGACCACACATGCACGAAAAACACTTGAAACCCCATTTACAATGCGGAACCGATCCGACCATGATCCGAGAATATCCGACCATGATCCGACCACACACGAGACCGTCTCGCACCCTTCGCACCGCAGAGGTAGATCATCGGCGTTCGGGGACGAACTTTGTATGGAAAAACATAGACTTTCGTGCATCTGCTATCTCTCAAAAACGCATTTCGTGCGAGACTTCCTTCAAAACTCCATCGGCAACTCCTCCACCAGCACCACTTGCAACCCCATTTACAGTGAGGGAACGATCCTAGAGTTGCAAATCACAATGGAATTTCATCGGCAACTCATCCACCAGCACCACTTGCAACCCCATTTACAATGCGGGAACGATCCTACAGTTGCAAATCACAATGGAATTCTGTCGACCACACATGCACGAAAAACAGTTGACACCCCATTTACAATGCGGAACCGATCCGACCATGGTCCGCCCATGATCCGAACATGATCCGACCACACACGAGACCGTCTCGCACCCGTCGCACAGCAGAGGTAGATCATCGACGTTCGTGGACGCACTTTGTATGGAAAAACATAGGCTTTCGTGCATTTGCTATCTCTCAAAAACGCATTTCGTGCGAGACTTCCTCCAAAACTCCATCGGCAACTCCTCCACCAGCACCACTTGCAATGCCATTTACAGTGAGGGAACAATTTCTTTGCTAACTCTTTCTGTGACTAACTCTTTTCCTCACTAACTCTTTCTTTGACTGACTCTTTCCCTCACTAACTCTTTCTTTGACTAACTCTTTCTTTGACTAACTCTTTCCCTGACGAACTCTTTCTTTGCTAACTCTTTCTGTGACTAAGTCTTTCCCTCACTAACTCTTTCTTTGACTAACTCTTTCCCTGACTAACTGTTTCTTCACTAACTCTTTTCCTCACTAACTCTTTCTTTGACTAACTCTTTCCCTGACTAAGTCTTTCTTTGCTAACTCTTTCTTTGACGAACTCTTTCTGTGACTTTCCCTCACTAACTCTTTCTTTGACGAACTAACTTCCCTTTCCCTCACTAACTCTTTTTTGACTAACTCTTTCCCTGACGAACTCTTTCTTTGCTTTGAACTCTTTCCCTCACTAACTCTTTCTTTGACTAACTCTTTCCCTGACTAACTGACTAACTCTTTCTTTGCTAACTAACTCTTTCCCTGACTAACTCTTTCTTTGACTAACTCTTTATGTGACTAACTGTTTCTTTGACTAACTCTTTCTTTGACTAACTCTTTCTTTGACTAACTCTTTCCCTGACGAACTCTTTCTTTGCTAACTCTTTCTTTGACTAACTCTTTCCCTGACATTCTAAAAGTCCGTAACACGGAAGTTTCTCCCCCTAAACTTCCTTTGACCATATCATTCGGAATGATGCAAACTGTCCCAGCACCTATATGTAGCCGCAAAACACTCCAGCTGATACACTTGATGTAGAATCAGCAATAGTTCATCGTATTTTAGATTCTTAGCAAACATGCCCCAAATATAGACATCCAACATCATCCAATATGTAGAGACATGTAGAGCATCAATTTTGGCTGCCTCAAACCATTGAGATCAACTTTCACACCCAGATTCGAGTTGCTAGCAGTATTGCCGATAGCGGCTATCCCATCATTTGGAGAGTCGAATGGAATTATCAACAACGTATGGGGTTTAACCATCAACATATGGGGTCAACTGTGTTTAAACATAACATGTGATATTTCTATCTCCTTCTTGATGATATTTCCACCATCCTTAATTGATGACTTTCTTGTTAAGTTTTGCTGCTTTATACTTTTTTCCTGCTGTTTACTGTACGTCTGAACTTTCTTTGAACATGCTTGCGCAATGTCCCTATTCTTGGTTGAATAGACACATATCATCCCCATCGTACTGGCAGTGGTCAAATCAGTTGATTTTTGGTTGCTTAACCACCTGCAAATACCAAAATGTGGGATTTTTCCATGTGGTTCAAATGGTGTGTCTAAACGTATATGCCCATGATATGTTATGTCAAATTGGGAGAAGGCAACATGATCAGCCTTCATGAAGCAGCAGAAAAAAAAACCAGAGTTCCTCCATTCAGAAAACTGGGAACCAACCATCAATGGAGAATATTGACTAAATTCACGAAGAGATGAATGGGGTGAGAAGCAACATATGATATATAATTCCATTCCAATATAAATATGAAGGGGAAACCAATCTAATGAATGATTCCTTTATCAGCCTGATTTACCCTCTGGTTTTTTAACCTTGGAATGGAACATCACCTATAAATGGGCCATTTCCCAAAACTATGTTAAATCACCGCATGGGATATCATATTCATCAAAATATTCTCCGTTCCTGTTGTAAGCCAATTGCTGTTGAATAATCTATCCCAATGATATCCCATTATATCCCATGAAATATCCCATGAAACAATATGAAACATAGGGATTTTCTGCAAAATGTGCCCTTGAATCACCCCCCAAAAAGATGCCTAAAGAGGTGTTTCCAGGATGGAAAAATTCGGCAATCTTTTCCCACAGATTTTCCAGGTGCGCGTAACTTTTCGGCATCCCAAATTTCCCTTCAATGGATGGGTTGATAAGTGCTTTTCCCATGATCATATCCTTTTTGGATGGGTTTCCCATGATTAACTTGTATATCCTTAAGGACAGAAAACCTTTTTCGGCATCTTTTTCGGAATCCATTGAAACTTGGAACTCGCTGAGTTTCCCAACTGCTCAAGGCTTGAGACAGCTTCGCCAAGGACTCGTCGTCCGAATC